GGGCGGCCATTTTCACTGCCTGTAAACGAGGAATCTGTCCAAAAACACAGCAAGGAGCCATTTTGAGCAGCCAGCGGCCATTTTGAAAACCCGACGATCAGCTGTTTTGATCGTCGTAATGCAAAGAAACGGTTCCCGAAGCAGGTAACCGATCGTCACAAAGCGAAAAAAACCCATTAAAACATCGTTTGTGATCGCAAAAACATTGTCGTGAAGCGGATTTGTCGTTAAGTAATCGTTAAGCGGGGCACAACTGTACCTTTTTAAGCAACAATGTATGTTACCCAAAAACTGAATTGAACTAGCTCAGTGATAATGAAGTGTACCTGAAACCCAGACATCATAAAGAAGTCTAGCTAAGAATATAAATGAATATGAATTACATATAGAGCTCAAACTGCATTACTTCAACAAAAAACAAATGTAGTCATTGGTCCAGAGGCAATTCCTTTAAAACAGCCTCTTTTGGTGCCCAGCACTTTACATTTTTGGTATAAATTAGTTTCAAGACATTCAGAAATATAAGCTCTTCTGCATCAACCAGAGTTAAGTACCTAATCACCTGAAACTTTTGTTGTCTGCCCTGCTTTAAAGGGAACACAGGGTAGAGGTCAGCCCGTCTTGAGATCATCCAAGATAAGTGTAGGCCACCAATGGTGTTGGGTTCGTCTGCCAAATACATGTCAACAAGCTGAACTTTGAGAATGCTCACTGAGCCTCAAGAAAGTTCACAGCTTTTGGTGCCCAGCACTTTATGTATTACATTTTTGGTATAAAGTAGTTTCAAGACATTCGGAAATATAAGCTCTTCTGCATCAACCTGAGTTAAGTACCTAATCACGTGAAACTTTTATTGTCTGCCCTGCTTTAAAGGGAACACAGGGCAGAGGTCAGCCCGTCCTGAGATCATCAAGATAAGTGTAGGCCACCAACGGTGTTGGGTTCGCCTGTCAAATACATGGCAACAAGCTGAACTTTGATAATGCTCACTGAGCCTCAAGAAAGTTCACAGCTTAGGTCCAAAGTAACATAGAACATGAGAAGGGCTATGCAATAGCTGGAGTGTTGGACTGAGACAGGTGATTGCAAGGGGATTAGCTGTCTTCCAGGTTGCTAAATTCTGCAGTATGATGATAAATGATGACAGTTGAAATTTGTATGAAGCGTTACTCAGAATGCCAGGCTAGGGTGGGATGGAGGAATAAGAGGAGGTCAAAACATAGCATTTAAACCGTGCAAGATTGCCAGATCCCTGGCACCTGCCCAAGGATGCCAGCTGCTGACACTGGTTCAGTACCCTGTCAGGGTTGTGCAGTATCCAGAGGAGAATATCCCATTCTCTAACCACACACGAGAAACAGAGAGACTAGCAAATGGAGTTGCTCATCTCAGCTAGAGTAGACCTTTGGACACAATTGCTGGATAGTAGGTCAACATTTATGTGAATACCACTGATCAAATAAGTCAACTCTAGTTAGGAAGTTGCTGTTGGATTTAGGGTGAAGTGTTTTCTGCTGATGTTTGGTAGTATACAGATGTGTTTGGAAAGGTATTGTATTTAGTACTGTACAAATAATAGTAAGTGGTCGGGACATTACCAGCAAACTTGAAGGTGGCAGTTGCATGCAAATAGGCTCAAACAGTTACTATATTGTGCGTCTCCTTTTCAGCATCAAATATATTGTGCTTATGTTGCAAGTCCTCAGAAGAAGGAAATGGTAAACCACTTCTGAGTACTCTCTCTACCTAGAAAAGAGTTGTCATAAGTCAGAATTGACTTGAAAGTACACACAAAAAATGTTGAGTTACTTTGCATTTGACAGAAAAATATTATTCGTGCTGGACTTCTAGACAAATTGCAGAAAAAAATTATTCGTGCTGGACTTCTAGACAAATTGAATGCAACCTCAGGACTGTCAGGACTTCCTAAAACAGTTAGCTATAGAGTTAGGAATACTAAATATAAACCAGCAAAAGAATAACAATTGAAAAAGAGGAGAAAAATGATGGCCAAGTCTCACACATAGATTATAACTGTGTATGTGTTTAGCTCATTTTCCTTGGAAACGGGAAAGAGAAGACAAAAAAAATATAATGTTGGTCATTCTCCATCACTTGTCATCTCAACTGAACTACAAACATTGCAACACAGCAAGGGCAGCAGAAATTTATTTCAAGGCTATCTCTAGCCAACTGTGTTCATATTGAGCAGCGTCAGTGCACAGACCATGTAGAATATCCTTGATCACAAGAGGAAAAACAACATGTTTCTGGTTTTATCTGAAAATGTCAGCATATTTCATTGTTGGAATTCACACACACAAATCTGTAATGGTATGTTAGAGTGTAAAAATAGTTCTGTAAGAAAAATATTAAACATGTGTTATTGGTAATTCATAAATTATATATATACAGTTACTAGCAGAAATTATTTCTACAAACTAGCAAGAATATGGTGAAACTCACCCTTGATCAAATATAAAGTGTCTTTCACAATCTAATCAATATGGTAGCCTGAATGAACAATAAATAATGATAGCTAACTGGTACAGATTACACTGTTCTGAATAACTGGAATTTGGAATTCTTTGCAGTTTCCTTCTACAAATCAAACATTGCCTCTACTTATCTCTCAAATCCCAACGCAACATAGAAAATACTTGTTTTGAGACCCCAGATTTTAAGGGCAGCAAGGCAGATGTTTCAATGCTTAAATTCCAATCCTCTGTCCAGTGAGTCAGTACATAGATTATTGTGCTGTAGAACTCAACTGTGGAATGTTCTGGATGGAAGCTGGGGATAATGTCTGGCTGTCAGTAGGTTTGATGGTGTTCTATTACATACTTCTACATAGTACAGTAATGCCTCGCTTAGCGACATTAATCCGTTCCCATTACATACTTCTACATAGTACAGTGGTGCCTCGCTTAGCGACATTAATCCGTTCTGGAAAAACGTTGCTAAGCGATTTAATCGCTAAGCGATTTTTAAAAGCCCATAGAAATGCATTAAAACTTGTTTAATGCGTTCCTATGGGCTTTAAAACTAACCTTATGCGAAGATCTTCCATTGCGGCGGCCATTTTCGGTGCCTCTAAAGCGAGGCAACACAGTGGGTGGCCACTTTGTTTTCCGGCGGCCATTTTGAAACCGCCGATCAGCGGGCTGAAAATGGGGGCTTTGCGGTGATCGCTTTCCCGCGATCATCGCAAAGCGATTTTTCCTCATATGGGCCATCACTAAGTGAGCGCTCTGGCAATGGCCAAAACCCCATCTCTAAGCAATTTCATCGCTGAACGGAGCAATCGCTAAGCTAGGCACCACTGTATCTTGAAAATGAATCTATTTTATGAGCTGGACATGGTTCAGATTAATGGTGGGATGAAGGCTATTCTTGACTTGACTTGAGGTAATTACAATGAGATTGATAGTCTCAAATCTCAGTGCTGCTGAAGTGTTGGTAAAACTATAATAATAAAAGTGAAAAGCAAAGTGTGCTGCTTATATACCGCCCCATAGTGCTTGAAGCACTCTCTGGTGGTTTACAAGTTAATTATGCAGGCTACACATTGCCCCCCCTCCCCGCAAGCTGGGTACTCATTAATTCTGGGACCTCGGAAGGATAGAAGGCTGAGTCAACCTTGAGCCGGCTACCTGGGATTGAACCCTGGGTCGTGAGCACAGTTTTAGCTGCAGTACAGCAGTTTAACCACTGCGCCACGAGGCTCTTTAAATAATAAATAATAATAATTTAAATAATACATTAAATAATCATACCTTTGCTGCTCTTTGATGATAGTTTGGAAGCTTCTCCCAAAAGTCGACTGCCTTCTACTAGTCCTGTTAGAAAGAATTTTGTGTATGATAAAATAATTTCTGGTTTGAAATTGCAGGAAATCCTGGTAGCACCTTATTGTTTGGCACAGATGTTTTGACTTGACAGGTGTAGTTCAGAAATCAGAAACTTTTCTAAATGTGCAATCAAAGATCTTTAAAACGTGACCTTTGGACAATCAGCTAAGGAAGAATATATGATAATGTTAGGTTTTGTTTTTCAGATTTTGATATTTTGGGGAAATGTTCATGGCTTCTTTTAAATAATAATCTATTTTGTTTGCATTTGAACATGTATAGGTTGGCCAGGTCAGCAACCCCCCATTCACTGAAATTTCAACATCAACACCTGAGATGAGGGGTAGATCCTTATAGTGTCTGTCCTATCATAGAGGTAGGTAGGGCAGGCAAGAGTTGAGATTTGGACCAGAATTACTTCCAACTAATGGATTATGGAAATAGGTACAACAGGCATGGGCACAACTGGACCAAAATGTGCAAATGAGGCACATCTAGCTGGGTAATATTGCACCCAAGATCTGCGTTGGGGGGGACAATGTTTTCTGGTAGCTAGATAAGCAGGAAAATGTGTCCAGCAGCTGTAGCTACCAGCTGGTTAGGACCTGAATACCACATGGTCTTACTTTCAGCACACATGATATGTGGGGAGCTTTTCTAGGTCCTGAACTACTGCTGAGATTTGTGGAAGCCTTGTTGTCAGGCCCTGAGTAGTTTTTCCCCCCAACACCTTGCACTGCTGTTGCAAGGATATGCGCAAATAGAAGGCAACTCCACTGCCCCATGTTCTCATTTTACTTAAGACAGCTCAATGAGACCCAGTTTGTGCATCTAGCAGTTCTATCTCCAGTCCCTTCCCCCTTACTCTTGGTCTCGTGGTGTCCTGCTTTCAGTGCAGCAGTATTAGCGCAACACCAGCAAGATGGGTACTCAGGCATAAATTCACCTCACATGCCAAAACCAAACTCTTCCGTCAAACTGTTCCTGAGAGTAGTTTTGCTATCTAGAAACTTAGTGAAACATGGCAGTTACCAAGAACTCTGGCTGGCACCCTAAGACTCTGGCAGCCCTAATGTACAAGTAAAAATGTAATAAAATATGTGATTTGGTAGTTAAATTTAATGTAACTTTTTTTTTCACCCTCTGTAGTCAGCAGCAGAATACGTGAAGTCCCGCTTACCTGAAGTCCTCAAGCAGCACCTTCAAGACTATGAGAAGGACAAGGAGAATAGCGTATTGTCTTATCAGACCATCCTGGAACAACAGATTCTGTCAATTGACCGAGAAATGCTGGAAAAGTTGACCGTATCCTATGATGAGGCAGGTATGTTGACAACACAGGGGTAAAATCCAGTTACAGTCTTTACGTTTTGGAGGGACTGGTGTTTTTTGTAAGTTGTCTTTGAAAATGTAAAAAATCTAAGAGGCTATGGCTCATTGTGTTACATTCTCCAGAATTACTATTTATTCAGCGCTTTTAAAAGATGATTATAACTATATCTAGGTATCTGGCTGTGGAGCCAGAGGTTGCAAATCCAATCTCCCAAAGTGCTTCCCAGAAGAGCCAGCCTGTGTGACCTGGCACAAACTGCACTGTCCCAGGTTGCCCCCAGAAGAATAGAATGGAAAACCACTCCTGAGTACTGTGTATCTAGAAACACCTGAAAAGGGTAGCTATAAATCAGAATTGACTTGATTGCATTTTTATTATTATTATTATTATTATTATTATTATTATTAGTATTAGTATTAGTATTAGTATTAGTATTAGT